TATGTCATTATCTCCCTACACACACACACACACACACACACACACACACACACACACCAAATGACATGCCTCTGCCACCTAGAAAGAGGTCCTTCTTTTAGGGTACAAGTTCTTCTAGATCATTATCACTAGCTTTTCTCTTCTTTTTGACAAAGTTCTAAAGAAAGCTGTCTTTTCCCATTGCTTACTTCCCCTCTCTCCAACTCATGACTGAAGCTAACTCCTTCCACCCTGAAGTGGTGTCTCAGACACTAAATCTAAAGTCTCTTCTCCATCTTTCATTTTGTTAGGTTTCAAAATGGCTGAAGTGCCTGCCTATTTAACATATAAAAGCAGACCTGATCACCAAGTTCTCCCTGCAATCCCTCAGCTCCTACCTATCACAGGGCCCTCCTGGTTGGCATACCCTGCCCACAACCCTGACCGCTTTAGGCCAGGGAACTGTAATTCCTAAGAAAAGGCCAGAGAAAGCTAGGCGATAACAGGGGGAAAGGGAACCAGTCCAGGCCCGGATGGGTGCAGCAGGCCAGAGTCAAGAGAAATGCAAACAGTTGAGAAGGATAAAGTGTCCTAGTGCCAAGAACTTCCATCAGGAAGTCCCAAGTGTAACGGGAAACTTGTCAGAGAGAAAAATGTCCCAAATCACAGAGGAAAGGCATCTCTTGTTCTTGTGGATAGAGCCCAGTAGGGCTGACAGAAGCTTCCTGGAACACCTGGAAGCTCTGTAGTAACAGAGTAGTAACACCTGGCGTCTGTAGTAACAGTAACAAAGCGGGTGGCTCAGGGTGACACTTACCCAGTAGAGAAAGAGAAGCTTATACAAAAATACACCAATACAAAGTATTTTGGGGACGGGCTTCCTTAGTGTAAAGGGAGATACAATGATAAACTAATGGCTCAGTAGGACTGAGAAGTTTTGTAAGTGTTGCTTTACACAATCTGGTCATTTTAAGATGGTGAAGTCACATGGCATGTACCCTTTAACCTTAGTAAAGATGGCTGCCAGCCATGTGGCTGCTTACATCTTGATAAGGCTATTTGCCAAGATGGAGGAGAGCCATAGCGTTGCTATTGAAAAACAAATATTTTCTTAGACAAGGGTTGAATCACATATATAGGATGTTGTATCCAATTAAAATTCTTATGTATATTTTTTAACTAATAAGCCTTTTAAGTTTTAAGCCAAATTTTGTTACAGGTTCTTTAATCATACCCAGTGAATTTCTAAATCCTGAGATAGAGTTTACTGTAATGGAAGTTTTGGTTTCTTTTCAAACTCAGTTATGTGGTGTAAATTGTTTTGTTTGTTTTAATCCCAACTATGAGATTTTAGTTTGGGCTTCAGTTTGTCCACAGCTGCTAACTGTCTCATTCGGGACGTGGTCTTTGCCAGCTGGCAACATCCTGCCTTGTGCAGTACAGAGAGGGTGGTGGTCCAGGACTCTGAGGGAATATAAATAGGAGAGCCCAGAAAGAGAAGGTGTGGCAATTTGAAGAGACCAGAGATAGAAGGCGTGACAGTGTGGAGAGACACAAGGAGATGCTTCTTGGTGCAGCAGCTTGGAAGACACAGGCAGAGGAGCCAGCTTGCTACATTTGCTGTTGACAGAGACTGGATTAGCCCCAAAGAACCCACCGACCTTAAACAGCTGGGAGAAGTAAAGGGGTCTGCAGCCCCTCTCCCCACTAACCTTCCCTCTCCTACCTAGGGTTAAAGAGTTGGTGAAAGAGAGAGTGGAGGCTTAACTACCCCAAAAAACACAGAGTTTATAAATGAGCACAACAGTTTACAGCATGGTCTTAAGAGGTTTTTTTAGGTTTTGGATTTTTTTGTTTGTTTTTGAGAACAGAGTACAAAAAGACCCTCCCTGGACCCAGATGTTCTTACTACAGCTTGGCCTCAGTACAGCTCAATGGCCAAAATTTGGTGCCCTTGCTTTCCAAATTCCCCTGGTTTGGGACAACTTCTGTCACCGCACAAGCAAATGATCCCAAAATCTCTTATTTCTAAGATTCTACAACTTTCCACTCTAAAATCTCTTATCTCTAGTTCTTTGCATGAAAGAAAGGAAGAAAGAAAGGAAAGAAAGAGATAAAGAAAGAGAGAGAGAGAAAGAAAAGCAAGGCAACATGACAGCTCCTAGGTACAGTGGAGGAGAAGGTTTATTATAGACATGTGGGAGAGCAGAGCTAGAGGCGGGACCTCTCAGAAAGTCCAGAGTGGGCATGACCAGACTGAGCGGGGCTGTGTGAGGAGAAGAGGGGAAAGGAGAGGGGAACCAGATGAAGCAGCCAGTCAGCACAAAAGCACAAAAAGAATGGGTAACCCATAATGGTTGGATTATATAGGGAAAAGCAGCCCAGCCCCCTGGGCTAGAGAGCTCAGGATGGGAGTGGGCTGTGCAAGCCAAGATGGCCCTGTAACAGGTAGGGACTGAGGGATGCAGGGAGAACCTGGTGGCCAGATCTGCTTTGATACCTTAGAGAGGCACCTCAGTCATTTATTCTGGATTTGAAACCTAAACATGTCTCTTGGCCTTCCGGGTGTGTTTAATCCTATTGGCCATTGTATGCCCTGAAATATTCTCCTCTTTTTTGCTCATTTCCTTAATCAGTGGAATGAGTGAACTATACTTACTGCGTTTAGGCCGTCTGGGAAAGTTTCTGCTTTCTACAGGTGAGCTTGCAGGGGTGTGGCGGTCAGGCAACTGTAGAATTAAGATTCATTAGATAAAAGTCTTGAGAACTGGATTCCTTCCTGCAACCAGAGTGGTGCCAAAGGCTGATTCAGTGACAGGAAGTGGGTGGAAGTCACCAAAAGGGGAAAGATATTTTGTTTGTTCCTTTGTTTTAAATTTTTAAAAGGTAAGGCCTGTGATCCCAGCACTTAGGGAGGCAGAGGCAGGCAGGTCTCTGTGAATTGGAGGCCAGCCTGATCTACAGATCGAGTCCAGGACATCCAAGGCTACACAGAGAAACCCTGTCTCAAAAACAACAATAATGTAGTGTAAGGGACAACGAGCCATACTATGGGGACCTTTGGAGACTGGCATTCTCTTTCTTGCGTTATAAAGAAATAGAGGCAGAACTGAAGACAGCTGCGACTTCTGCAGTGTTCCCTAAGAACTAGCATTTCCAACCTACATTGGTTCAACTGAACAAAATCAACTTTCCACTGCTAAAATGATTTTGCTTTTTAATTTTAGCGTCACTCTTGTACAGCTTGATGTGTGATTGTATGCTAGCTATTGGCTGTTTTGATTCTTATTTCTAAGCAAGTTGGGGAGAGAAGGGTTTATTTCAGATCATACTTCCACATCACAGTCAATCTTATCAAAGGGAGTGAGGGCAGAAACCTGGAGGTGGGAACTGAAGGAGAAGTCATGGATGAAGAGTGCTTATTGGATTGCTTCTCTAGGCTTGCTCAACCTGCTTTCTTATGTCCTCCAGGACTAGTCACCCAGAGGAAGCCCCGCCCACATCAATCATCAATCAGAACAATACCGCATGCCTGCCCACAGCTTCTCAGTGCTGGTTCTTTCTTCTCAGACAACTCTAGTTTACGTCAAGCTAACAACAACACCCTGGACACTATTGTACTGGGCTACAAAGAATCTAGTTTGATCTAATTTCTTTTTCTCTTCTACATTGTTCAGACTAGGGCTGAAGACTTGGAAGACAACTTTTGTTTTGTTTTTGTAGCCCTGGCTGCCCTGAAACTCGCTCTGTAGACCAGGCTGGCCTGGAACGCACAGAGATCCGCCTGCCTCTGCCTCCTAAGTGCTATGATTAAGTGGGTGTGCCACCGCCACACGGTTTGTAAGACTACTTTTAAAACCATTTTTTAACAAGTGTTTTAAATTTCTAAGGTTCCTGGGATTTTGGATGAGGGCTGTGGGCAACACACAATACAGCTGTGGAAGTAGGACAGAGAAAACATTTATTTATACTGTATGAGCTGGAGAAGTGAGTGTACTTCAGTGCCTACAGAAGATTTAATACAAAGTAAAATAGTCCCATGTTCTCCCGTGTATTCTAACCAACCTAGATACAAACAAAAACACAAACAAACCAACCCCAGAATCCCAGGCAACTACTAGGGCTAATTAGAGTTTTTATACAGTCTATAAGTCCTTTTGGTTCAACTTAGGCCAAACTTGCAAATGTGGACATAAGCTAATTGCCCCAGGACCTTGGATCAGGCCTTTCTCTAGTCAAGCAGGTGATCTGAAAAGAAAATCGTATGTAGTCCACAGCATTTTTCCCCCTCCTTGGCCGTCTCTCCAACATTCAAACTCTTCCAGTCTTTGATTCTTTTGAAAAGATCATTTTATTTTTACAGAACTTTCCACCTTTCATAGTTCTTAAGCCAGACTGGCGCATCTGGCTAGAAAATAATTGCCCTTTAAATTAAAAAAAGAAGACTAAGCACCCAGAACTGAAATAGATATAGTTACCATAATGTAAATTTCCCAGGGCACTATAATTTGTGCTTGAAAACCCACTAAAGACTCACCCTTTTCCTTAAACAACGAGGATTAACAACCTTAACAAGGTAATAAATAATCAAGCCAACAGAACCCCACCCTGGAGCAAGCTCTGGGGTGGAACTTTCCGTTTAAGTCAGGCTTGTGACTACCGGGGAAAGTGGCTCAGGCCGCGTAGAAGGCGGAAAGGAACGTGATTACCTGGGCAAAGGTATGAGCCACTCACTCGCCGAGGACTAGGGTAAAGAGAGGAGAGGGGGAGGAGGAGGAGAAGAAGGAGAGGTAGGAGGAGGTGAAGGAGGAGCCGGCCTGGTAGGGTGAGGAACCTGCCCTGCTCACCTGGGAAGGGCGCCACGCTGGGGCGGAGTCCTCCCAGGTCCCCTGGGAGGTGGCGGAACTGAGCAGTCCGGGCACCTGGCAATCCGCCTCACCTGCGTAGGAGGCGGGACGGGCGCACCTGCGCGGGCGGGGGTGGGGTGGGGTGAGGTGGGGTGGGGCGGGGGCGGGGCCGGGGAGCCGCCGTCGAGCCCGGACAGCGAGCGGAGGCGAGAGGACCGGGTTGAGACACCACCACCACCACCACCACCACCACCACCGCCACCACCACTGCCACCGCAGGCCCCGGCTGTGACCCCGCCATGACCTGGAGCGCGTCGGCGCGGGGCGCGCACCAGCCGGACAACACGGCCTTCACCCAGCAGCGCCTCCCGGCCTGGCAGCCGCTGCTGTCTGCCGGCATCACGCTGCCCCTCTTCTTCTGCGCCGGCCTGGCCTTCATCGGCCTGGGCCTGGGCCTCTTCTACTCCTCCAACGGCATCAAGGAGCTGGAGTACGACTACACCGGCAACCCCAGCCGCGGCCACTCGGGCGCCGGCCACTGCTCGCTGTGCGCCGCCGAGGGCCAGGGGCGCGCGCCGCCGCCCCGCTGCTCGTGCTCCTGGAACTTCACGCTGCCGGAGCTGTTCCCGGGCCCCGTGTACCTCTACTACGAGCTGTCCAACTTCTACCAGAACAACCGGCGCTACGGCGTGTCCCGCGACGACTCGCAGCTCAGCGGCCTGGCCGCCTCGCTGCGCCACCCGGCCAACGAGTGCGCCCCCTACCAGTACAACGCCTCCGGCTGGCCCATCGCGCCCTGCGGCGCCATCGCCAACAGCCTGTTCAACGACTCCTTCTCGCTCTGGCACCAGCGGCGGCCCGGGGGGCCGTACGTCGAGGTGCCGCTCGACCGCGCCGCCATCGCCTGGTGGACCGACTACCACGTCAAGTTCCGCAACCCCCCGCTGGTGAACGGCAGCCTGGCGCTGGCCTTCCGCGGCACGGCGCCCCCTCCCAACTGGCACCGGCCGGTCTACGACCTCAGCCCGGATCCCAACAACACCGGCTTCATCAACCAGGACTTCGTGGTGTGGATGCGCACCGCGGCGCTGCCCACCTTCCGCAAGCTGTACGCGCGCATCCGCCAGGGCAACTACTCGGCCGGCCTGCCCCGGGGCGCCTACCGCGTCGACATCACCTACAACTACCCGGTGCGCGCCTTCGGCGGCCGCAAGCTCCTCATCTTCAGCAACATCTCTTGGATGGGTGGCAAGAATCCTTTCCTGGGCATCGCCTATCTGGTCGTCGGCTCCCTCTGCATTCTCGTGGGGTTTGTCATGCTGGTCGTCTACATTCGCTACCAGGACCAGGACGAGGAAGACAGCGAGGACGAGTGAGGCCGTCGACCCCTTCCTGCTCCTCGGCCAAGCCGCTTTCGGCGCTGGCCCTTTGCTCCCAACACAACTTGAGGCTCGCCGACCTCCTGTTGTGGGCGAAGGGCCTGGAGAAGGGAATTAATGACCAGAGACCTCTTAGAGGCGCCGGGCTGTTCTCGGGTTTTGGACGGCAGAATGATGCATCTGGCGATTTCTCCCCAGCTCACCGAGTTGACGTGTCAGGTCCTTCAAGTCCACAGCATTTCAGAGCAAAGGACAGGTCCGATTCTTGGAGTGGAACTCATTAAGACCAGCAACAGCTAGCAGTTGGATCCCGATTCTGAGTCTAAGCTTTTGTGCCTTCAGTTTTCTGGGACGGAGGTATAAGGCGGGAGGGGAAGGGTTGAGATGGAGAGTGGTACCACCCATCGACGGCCTATGCAGCCTGGAGGAGTGGGGAAAGCGCATCTGTTAGAATTTAAGTCGACGAAGAGGCACCAAGCCTTTCGGGTTGTGCCGCAGTAAGGCCAGAATGAGCAAGCTTCCGTGGGAGTCTCCGTGCCCTTGAATCTGGGAATCTTGAGCCAGGTTGGGCCTGAAGCATTCACCTGAGTTCGGTTTTTCCGGTTATAATGTGTTCCCATGAACAGTGGCAATCATAGCTTTCAGGTTTGGCCTTAAACATGGGAAGTTAGCGATTTGCAGAGTGGATGAGAAAAAGTTGCTCAGTCTAGGAAACTAACGTACAGATCTGCAGGGCAGAAACACGTCAACTTGTCATTAAATGTAAAAACCAACTTCACAAGACGCTATGTAAAAACTTGAAAATGCAAGGCCAGTTTGCATGGCTCAGGGGGAAATGCTTCAACCCTAGCAACTTAGCTGCAAATGATGTTAGTGGGAAGTTGTTTCCCTGGAAACAACTTCTTGAGTGGCCCTTGCCTTCTTGCTCACCTCCTTTTCAGTCATCACCACTTTTTTTTAAATGCTTAAGAAAATAATTTAATTCATATCATTTTCACAGAGCGCTATCTTAAATGCAGTTTTAATTCTCAAATGAAACCCATTTCTAGTGATCATGTTTAAAAATGCTATTTTGCATATGCAGAATAGACTCGGGATTATTTTAGCCCTTAAGATAATGTTAAAATTACTCAGCTGCCTTTATTTGATTGCCTACAATTGATACAAAGTTATTCTCAGAGACAACTGGGACAATTTTCTTTTAAACTCCCCCTTTTATGGAACAATAATTTAAGCGAACTTAACAATAAAATTTCCCAGGATACTGTCTTCCAGGTTCACCGAAGAAACTTTACTTGATAGTTGTAGGGATCCTCTGGCCTGGCTGTCTAGAGCACTGTATTTTAATTCTTCTAAGGCAGCACAGGTCTTGTAGTATGTTTTACTTTTATGGCAGTCAAATGTTGAGTTAGAATAATTTCTACACATTCTGTTATTCTGTTCTAGTTGATGCTTAGTTTTGGATGAACAGCATGTCTGTCTAAGATCATCTGGGTCAAAAAGTGACTTAAAATAATCTTGTCTCATTTTTATGTATGTCAAAAAAATTTATTTAGTAATTCCAGTGTGCTGGCTTTCTGACCTCTGAATGTGATAAAATTTAGTATTAGATCACATACTGTGTTTTTTGACTATGAAAAGTTGATCATTTGTATTTTCAGGAAGTTTTATTTATTATGAAAGCTTGACTGATCAGTTGTCCTCTGTCAGATAATGGCGTTTGGTACATTTTTTTTTCATTCTATAGTTGAAGGTAACTATGCATTTCGCTATCCTTTGTAGAGCATTAGTTTTTTGTTATAAATTTTTTATGTGAGACCATGCAGCTTAAAGTCCTGTGATTAAATTGTGGTTTCAGGCTTTGCTTTTGAAAGAGAAGAAAGGTTGTGTTTGTCTTTCTCTGTTATCACATTACTTGGTTCTTTTGAACTATGATCTTAAAGGCACAAACAGTACCAGCATTTACCTCATGCTACTAGCAGATTTATATTGCACCCGGAATGTCACCTTTCAGAATAAGATTCAGTCAATGTGAACTCACTCTTTTATTGCTAACTTCCTAAAACAGAATTTGAATTTTTATCAACAGCCTGTGTTTGAATTACATGATCTTCAACTATTGTTTAAGTTCTGTAAATGACAATCTTTTAACTTTTAATATGAAAGGTCATTAAAGAATGTGATCATAGCAGCCTTGCCTCTCTATGTTTTACTCAGACTGTAAATTTCAATTATTTGTTGGTATTTGAGACCACAGAAGAGCAGAGAGTTTAAAATGGAAGTGTCTGACCTTTGCTTCAGTGACCCCAGGGCTGGGTAGCATTTTTTGCCCAGTGTCATGATTCTGGTTGTATCCCTGTGGAAGTGTATCCCAACTGGAAGTATGCCTTCTACAAGTGAGACACAGAGCAAACCCCAGAAGTTAAACCAGAAATCAACTTTGACCTACTTTGTGAAATAAAGGTACAAAACGGAAGTGTTCAGTCAGATACTGAATACCTTTATTTGGATTGTTCACTGCAAGTAAATAACAACAACAACAAAACATTAATGAAACAAGGTGAGGTTTGGAGCAGCTCCTCAACTGAAGTCACTCAGCAATCTGCTTACTAGACCGTTGTTAAAAGTCAAGGACGTTGTTTCCTTTGGGACAAATGTTACTAGGTAAGATTATAAACAAAATTCCTTCTGCCACACCAAAGAGCTGTTGGTGAGTCTCAGTGTTATCAACCAGCTCCTTATCTGGACTTGGGTGAAAGTCATCAGTCACTGTCAATAAATTTAAATTTTAAAATTTAAAATTTTTCACTGGACGTTCATTTGTATCCCACATTTTTTTTTTTTTTGTTTTAATTTTTTTTTTTTTTGCTATAGGTAAAACAGAACTGGTTAATTTTAGTTGGCAATTAAAAAACAAATTCCACTCCCTCCCCCAGGAGAATTTCTCTTCATTCTTTCAGCAACTAAATGAAGAGTCACTTAAAGGGCCCTGCCAAATGGGCCTGAAACTCACTAAGGCCCCAACGACATCTCCTAAGAGAGCGTCGCTTTATAAAGAAATGGCTGAAACTTTTAGCTGTTTTCCAGAGGCTGACGTTACACACCAGCAGCATAGTTTCCCCCTTAAGAACAGCGGCGAGCGTTTAGGGAAAACTACCCGCGCTGCTCTATGACCTTGTGTGAAGATCGCTGTCGTTAGCGCCCCTTGCGTCTAGGAGATGTCTCCAGCACGCCAGCATGCCTTCAGTTCACATACCTGCTGGGTAAGCTTGAAGAGCACAGACACGGAGGATGAAGGGGAAAGATGCGCGGGACATGATCCTAAACCGACAGAGGGCAAGGGGTCAAGAGCCAGCCGCAGTGGAACCTGAAGACGTCGGGGCTGGCTCAGCCACAGAATCCACCAACCACAGGGCTTTGTGAGATACAGCGAGCGAAAAGTGGCTCACCTCCTTCTGTACCCGTAAGCTTGCCTTTTTGAGGGCAATGTATCGTTTCCTTAGGAGCAAATTATTGTTGTCAGGTGCCTTCAAGGTCCTGCCCTCCACGCTGACATAGTAGCCAGTGAAAACTGTAAACAATGTGTCATTAATAAGGATTATTTTGTTTCTTCCAAAAGTTATCAAGACCAAAGAGGTAGGGATATATTCCTTCCTATTTTGTTCAAAACTCTACAAAATAATAATAATAATAAGCAATGACAGCTTGGGAGATGACTCAGTAAGCAGAGGCATTTGCTGCCAACCCTGCCAATTCTAGTTTTATTCCCAGGATCTACGATCTACAGAGTGAAAGGGGAGAGCTGACTGCTGCAGGTTTTCTGCTGACCTCCACACTGGAGTTCCTGTACATGTATGCCCCTCCACACACACACACACACACACACACACACACACACGCACAAGCACACCCAATAAATAAGTGTAATAATAATTCAAGTAGCATGCCCTAGAAACAGAAGCGTAGTGCTGAGTGAAGTGGCGGCCATTGAAATGGCTTCCTTAGTTATTTTTTAATTATTGCATTCATCTATTCGCTTTATGTCTGTGTGCGTGTGTGTGCCTGCCTGTTTGCACGGCGCATGCTTGAACCAAGTGTTCACAATCCACAACACACATGTAGAAGTCAGAGGACAACCTTCAGGAGTTGCTTTTTGTTTTTTTGTTTTGTTTTTTTCAGATTTATCTTTTCTTATGTATAAGTGTTTTGCCTGCCTTATGTATGTGGACCACGTACATGCCAGGTGCCTGGGGTTAGGAGAAGGCATTGGATCCCTCGGAACTGGGGTTTTCAATGACTGTGAGCTACGATGCCAGTGCTAGGACTCAAACCTGGTTCCTCTGCTAGAAAGAGCAAGTGCTCTCAACTGCCGAGCCATCTCCCCAGCCCCTCCGGAGTCTATTCTATCTTTCTACCGTGTGGCCCCTAGGGCTCAAACCCATGTCATCAGTCTTAGTGGCCAACACCCTTATCTGCTGAGCTATCTTGTTATCCCTGCTTCACCATTTTAAAAAAATAATTTTATTTTGAGCAGTTTCATGTGTGTGTGTGTGTGTGTGTGCTCTGATTGCTTTCTTTAACACCCTCTCATTTCTTTCCCATTCTTATCACAGATTCCCCTCCCCCATCCATACTAGAACTTTTCCTTTATTCATGACTTTCAGTTTTCTTACCTATTTAATTTGGCTAGGCCCATCATGGAACTACTGGATTGGAAGTGTCTATTGGCGCTTAATGGGGTCATCAGTGGGTGGAAAGTGAAGACAATGGTGTGCCCACTTCCTGAATCTATTGAGGTCCCCTGGGCCTCTCCATCATCCGTGCCTGACTGTTGATGAAGCCCAGGGCTGCTGTGAGTTTGGTTGTGACTTCTCCAGAAACATGGTGCCCTTCTTCTTATCTGCTGGCTTATCCCTTCTCCCCGCCTCCTCTTCCACAGTGTTTCCTGAGGCTTAGAGGGGATGGTATAAATGTCTTGTTTAGGCCTGAGCACTTGTCTGTCTCGAATTCTCAGGACCTTGGGGCAGCCGTGAGCTTCTGAATTCTCTACCCTGCTTCATCATTTAAAAATAATTTTAAACCGGGCTCAGTGGCGCACACCTGTGATCCCAGCACTTGGGGAGGCAGAGGCCAGGGGATCCCTGTGAGTTCAAGGCCAGGCTGGTCTACAAAGCAAGTCCAGGACAGCCAAGGCTACACAGAGAAAGCATGTCTTGAAAAAAAAAAAAGTTTAAAAATAATGTTATTCTTGTTATGAATTACAAGGGCATTTCCTATTGTTTTTTTTTTCTTTTTCTCCTCTTCATGCGTACATGCAATAGGGTATGCATGCATATGTACATGTATTTGTGTGTGTGTGTGTGGCAGGTGTTTGTGCATGCCTGGGAAGGTCCAGAGTTGGGAGTCCACACCCACTGTACTCTAGTCCCTGAGTCAGGGACTATCAATCAATCCCATAGCTCATTGATATAGCTTGTCTTCTTAGCCAGTTTGCATCCCGCGTTCCCTGTGTTCTCCCTCTGGGTCTGAAATTTCAAGCAGATTGCCAGGCCCACCTGAGATTTGCGTGGGTCTTCTTGGTTTCAGAAAGTGCTTTCATCACTGAGCCCATGTTTAATTTAGCTCCTGTTAACACACGGAAAATAGCAGATACGACACTTCTCACTCAGGCTGAGTAACAGAATTGGAAACTGATTTTTTTTTTTCCTGCACGTCTTTAAAACTTAAGACTTATCAGTTACCCCAACACAATTTTTAGCTGACTGGATGTGGCACCTGTCAAGTTCCCCTTAGAGAAGAAGCCGATTGGTGCTGTGTTCACTTGCATGAATCTTTAAGACATGACTGAATGGTTGATACGGAAGTATCAATCCTCCTGTCTCCAAAACTGTATTCTCTCCTAACTCACATTTCCAAGCCCCTCTTAGATACGCCTGAAGGTGCCCACAGGTGCCTGAGTGGTCAGAGCCAAACTTACTATTGTCTCCTGGAGGCCTTGCACTTCCGTCCTAGTTACTGTTTCATTGCTGTGAAGAAACATCATGACCAAGGCAACTTACAAAAGCAAGCGTTGAAGTGGGGGTTTGTGTGCAGTTCCAGAACGGTAGTTGGTGCCCATTACTGTGGGGGGAGCATGAAAGCAGGCAGGCAGGTAGGCATGGTGCTGGAGCAGTAGTTGAGAGCTTACACCTTGATTCAGAGGCAGCAGGTGTGGAGGGGGGAGAGAGAGAGAGAGAAAGAGAGAGAGAGCCCATGAATGACAGGGGCTCTTGAAACCGCAAAGCCAACTCCCAGTGATACGCCTGCTCCAACAAGGCTACACCTTACCTAATCCTTCCCCCAAAATTCCACTAACTGGGGACCAAGCATTCAAACATATGGGCCTACGGGGGCCATTCTCACTTAAACCACCACACCTTCAAAAGTACTTAACCTAGCTTCTCCGTGCTGTTAGTCAAAATCCTGAGCTGCCTGCTTGGCTGGCCTGTTTCTGTTTTTTCCTGCTTCCAGCTGTTGTCAGACACTGAGGCTTCTGCCTCCCAAAGGCACCGTCAATCAAGCCCATCTTTACTGCTGCCCCGGCCTTGCTTTGTTCTTTCTCACCTGGAACTTGGAGGCGCCTCCTGGCCAGCATTCCAGTTGCCTCTTCTCATTATGACCACCACCCAAATTACAAACCTCACGTGTTAGCCCCCAGCTTAGAATCTCTTGCGTCTATGTACAGCCTGCTGGAGGGAGTCTAAATCCTCGAAGAGGTCCTGGAGGCTTTGCTCTGTATCTCCAAGCACCTTTCTTCGAAGACTCTACGAAACTGTAGCCCTCCTTCTCTCTTCAAACTCCCATCTTCAGCCTAGTCCTTTTGGTATCCATTTCAGCCCTCTCTTGGGGTATTTGCCGTGTTGCCCAGATGGAGAGAGTTCCCCTCTCCATCTCAGTGCTCAGGCTGTTAACTCTACAGACGGGTGAGAACTTGTTCCCTCTTTTGTTTTTTGTTTTTGTTTGTTTTTTTCATTGCCAGTCCCTGGTACCTGGACTAGTACACATACACCCTTAAACAGCTGTTAAATGACAGCTAGGAAACCAATAATTGCATTACTTTACTGCCATGGAACCCTTCGTTGCCTATAGTTGAATGTGCAGGAAATAAGTCAGGAAACAAATGAGATGCAGAAATGACACTGTAAAAAATTGGAAATTTTAGGGTTAACAGTGCCGTGGACACACTTATATTCTGAACAACACGGAAACACTAAGCTTCAAGTTCCCATCTGTAGAGCTTAAGTGTTTGGTCGGGGTTTCCTCCATAAAGTAATTTGCAGAAATGAGTAGCAGATGGGTTGCATTAGCCCTCGATAGTGAGACGGTTCCTTTCTGCTCACAGGGAATCACTGCCTTTGCTAGTAACTGCAGTATGTTAATGGGATATTCACATTTTTGTGGTGCTTCTTTATAGAGGAGAGTTTTTTACTCACTGAAGTATTTTATAATACAATGTAAAATGAACATTGCTTTCTTGTGCTGGGTAATTGCCTCAGAATCCATTTAGGCAAAAATAGCATGATGGAGAACTGCCCCAAAGGAAGGCAAAACCAAACACAATAGTAGCTTTCCTGTTTGCTGTTTGGTGTTTTGTTTATAATGTTTAGCACATCTTGATATCTCCATAATAGCAATTTTAGAACTATAAATGATACTTTACAGAGGTCACACCATAGTTATTTAAGTTCTGGGGTTGATTTCCCTGAGCACTAAGTAGCTACGAATGAATTATGTTTAGTCTGATCTGCCACAGAAGGGCCAT